TCTAGTTCAGTTCTAGTTCAGTTCTAGTTCAGTTCTAGTTCAGTTCTAGTTCAGTTCTAGTTCAGTTCTAGTTCAGTTCTAGTTCAGTTCTAGTTCAGTTCTAGTTCAGTTCTAGTTCAGTTCTAGTCAGTTCTAGTTCAGTTCTAGTTCAGTTCTAGTTCAGTTCTAGTTCAGTTCTAGTTCAGTTCTAGTTCAGTTCTAGTTCAGTTCTAGTTCAGTTCTAGTTCAGTTCTAGTTCAGTTCTAGTTCAGTTCTAGTTCAGTTCTAGTTCAGTTCTAGTTCAGTTCTAGTTCAGTTCTAGTTCAGTTCTAGTTCAGTTCTAGTTCAGTTCTAGTTCAGTTCTAGTTCAGTTCTAGTTCAGTTCTAGTTCAGTTCTAGTTCAGTTCTAGTTCAGTTCTAGTTCAGTTCTAGTTCAGTTCTAGTTCAGTTCTAGTTCAGTTCTAGTTCAGTTCTAGTTCAGTTCTAGTTCAGTTCTAGTTCAGTTCTAGTTCAGTTCTAGTTCAGTTCTAGTTCAGTTCTAGTTCAGTTCTAGTTCAGTTCTAGTTCAGTTCTAGTTCAGTTCTAGTTTTCGTTCAGTTCTAGTTCAGTTTCTAGTTCAGTTCTAGTTCAGTTCTAGTTCAGTTCTAGTTCAGTTCTAGTTCTGTTCTAGTTCAGTTCTAGTGCAGTTCTAGTTCAGTTCTAGTTCAGTTCTAGTTCAGTTCTAGTTCAGTTCTAGTTCAGTTCTGTTCAGTTCAGTTCTGTTCTTTTAGTTCAGTTCTAGTTCATTTCTAGTTCAGCTCAAGTTCAGTTCAAGTTCAGTTCTAGTCAGTTTAGTGCAGTTCTAGTTCAGTTCTAGTTCAGTTCGAGTTCAGTTCTAGTTCAGTTCGAGTTCAGTTCTAGTTCAGTTCTAGTTCAGTTCTAGTTCAGTTCTAGTTCAGTTCTAGTTCAGTTCTAGTTCAGTTCTAGTTCAGTTCTAGTTCAGTTCTAGTTCAGTTCTAGTTCAGTTCTAGTTCAGTTCTAGTTCAGTTCTAGTTCAGTTCTAGTTCAGTTCTAGTTCAGTTCTAGTTCAGTTCTAGTTCAGTTCTAGTTCAGTTCTAGTTCAGTTCTAGTTCAGTTCTAGTTCAGTTCTAGTTCAGTTCTAGTTCAGTTCTAGTTCAGTTCTAGTTCAGTTCTAGTTCAGTTCTAGTTCAGTTCTAGTTCAGTTCTAGTTCAGTTCTAGTTCAGTTCTAGTTCAGTTCTAGTTCAGTTCTAGTTCATTCTAGTTCAGTTCTAGTTCAGTTCTAGTTCAGTTCTAGTTCAGTTCTAGTTCAGTTCTAGTTCAGTTCTAGTTCAGTTCTAGTTCAGTTTCTAGTTGAGTTCTAGTTCAGTTCTAGTTCAGTTCTAGTTCAGTTCTGTTCAGTTCTAGTTCAGTTCTAGTTCAGTTCTAGTTCAGTTCTTGTTCAGTTCTAGTTCAGTTCTAGTTCAGTTCTGGTTCAGTTCTAGTTCAGTGCTAGTTCAGTTCTAGTTCAGTTCTAGTTCAGTTCTAGTTCAGTTCTTGTTCAGTTCTTGTTCAGTTCTAGTTCAGTTCTAGTTCAGTTCTAGTTCAGTTCTAGTTCAGTTCTAGTTCAGTTCTAGTTCAGTTCTAGTTCAGTTCTAGTTCAGTTCTAGTTCAGTTCTAGTTCAGTTCTAGTTCAGTTCTAGTTCAGTTCTAGTTCAGTTCTAGTTCGTTCTAGTTCAGTTCTAGTTCAGTTCTAGTTCAGTTCTAGTTCAGTTCTAGTTCAGTTCTAGTTCAGTTCTAGTTCAGTTCTAGTTCAGTTCTAGTTCAGTTCGTTCAGTTCTAGTTCAGTTCTAGTTCAGTTCTAGTTCAGTTCTAGTTCAGTTCTAGTTCAGTTCTAGTTCAGTTCTAGTTCATTTCTAGTTCAGTTCTAGTTCAGTTCTAGTTCAGTTCTAGTTCAGTTCTAGTTCAGTTCTAGTTCAGTTCTAGTTCAGTTCTAGTTCAGTTCTAGTTCAGTTCTAGTTCAGTTCTAGTTCAGTTCTAGTTCAGTTCTAGTTCAGTTCTAGTTCAGTTCTAGTTCAGTTCTAGTTCAGTTCTAGTTCAGTTCTAGTTCAGTTCTAGTTCAGTTCTAGTTCAGTTCTAGTTCAGTTCTAGTTCAGTTCTAGTTCAGTTCTAGTTCAGTTCTAGTTCAGTTCTAGTTCTAGTTCAGTTCTAGTTCAGTTCTAGTTCAGTTCTAGTTCAGTTCTAGTTCAGTTCTAGTTCAGTTCTAGTTCAGTTAATTCAGTTCCAGTTCAGTTCTAGTTCAGTTCTAGTTCAGTTCTAGTTCAGTTCTAGTTCAGTTCTAGTTCAGTTCTAGTTCAGTTCTAGTTCAGTTCTAGTTCAGTTCTAGTTCAGTTCTAGTTCAGTTCTAGTTCAGTTCTAGTTCAGTTCTAGTTCAGTAGTTCAGTTCTAGTTCAGTTCTAGTTCAGTTCTAGTTCAGTTCTAGTTCAGTTCTAGTTCAGTTCTAGTTCAGTTCTAGTTCAGTTCTAGATCAGTTCTAGTTCAGTTCTAGTTCAGTTCTAGTTCAGTTCTAGTTCAGTTAGATCAGTTCTAGTTCAGTTCTAGTTCAGTTCTAGTTCAGTTCTAGTTCAGTTCTAGTTCAGTTCTAGTTCAGTTCACACAAACATTTTGAAATTCATCTCATCAGGAAATTTTACATACCTTGCTAGCATCTGAAAATAATCCCCTACCCATGTAATATGCAGAAGGACTTACTTTGATTTTGTTTTTGTTCCAACCTTAAATACGAAACTTACCCAATTCTAATGTTTCCAAGTTATTTTATTTGCATTGTGTTGTTCTTGTTAGAAATTGTAATTGTGAACATTGAAAAATATATCTATATAAACCGCGCCTGTCTACTACAACAACCTCAAATAAAAGATAAAATCCAACAACATCATAAAGCAAACCAGTATAAATTCTACAATAAAATACTATTTCAAACAAAAACAATAACTCAGAAACATTTACAAGAATTTACTAGGTAAAAGTCTATATTAAATTGTATAAATGTGTTTGTGTAAAAATCAGAGTATAACTAACAATACATGTGCATGACACAGTCTATAAAGGATGTGAAAAAATCAAAAAACAATGATGAGACAGGCGTAAGTTAAATGCGAAAAAATATCATAAAAAAAGAAATAAATGAAAACAACAAAATGAAAATAAAAAATTATATGAATAGCAGAACAAAAAATCTTAGAAAATAACCATAGGCAGCTGCAATAATATCAAATACAACAATAATAAATGCTCTTAAACAAAATAACCACAATAAAGCTTCCTCCTCTCCCCTCCTAAATACTGATGCTGCTTAAAGTCTAATAAAAAAAACGAAATATTTCTTCTTTCTTCTGTAATAAAATATAATTTAAACATAAAAATATATTAAATCATTTAATAAAATAAGCAAATGTTTAACAAAATTCCTTAACTAAGTGCAAATAAAAATATATAATTAAATATTTCTTAGCCACACCCTAAAAATATGCAGTGATTTGTTTTAAAAATATTGTTAAATTCAATATCTTACTCGTATAACCAAATAAAAGCGTAATAATTGTAAACAAAAAGTTCATAAAAATCCTATAACACCAAAAGTCTTAAATATTATAATTAAAATAATTAAAGATAAGTAATAATGCATAAAGATAAAAATTAAATTAATCCTTAAAAGTAAAAAGAAAACAAAAAAAAAAATTAATATCAAACATAAAAAATCAACAAAAAAGTATCACAAAAAAAGCACAACATGCTACAATTCAACACAACCAGCTCAATTTTCTAAATATGAATGAGTTGTTCCTTGTCTCTTGAAAATCTCTCTCAAATATGAAAACACAAGTGAGTAAGTGTTAAAGTGTGTGTGTGTTTGAGTTTAATAATACAAAAGGAAAACAAAATTTCAACACTCTCTTAAACATTACTTCAATGTTTGTTTACATTTTTGTCTAAAAAGAGCGAGCATATCCTTTAAAAATGAAAAGCAAAGAGAGCAAGAGAGTGTTGTAAGTTAACTCTAGTAAATACAAAAAAAGCTTTAATACAACGTGTGTTTGTAAATTTACACTTAAACTAACTAATGTTTTCATTGCTATTGTAAAAAAAAAAACAAAACAAACAAAATTTACTCATTTTTTTCGCCCGAAAAGCCAACTAAAAGTTCCTGTTAAGGACAACGACCATTAGCCGCAGTTCTCTTATATCTTGTTTTTGCTTTATGCATTTAATTCAACATCATTAATATTGAAGTGAATAAAACTAACATCATACTACAAGGATTTAAAAAAAAAAATCATCAACAATATTTGTAATAAAAAAACAACAACAACAGCGTTATCATCTACAGAGAAAAGGTAATAAATTATCTAATGTATACAAAAAACATAGAAAGACAAAAAATATAAATATTTTTATGGCGTTAAAATATCTTCTTTTGAAAGCATTTAAAATTTTTATTATAATATTTCTGTTTATTTCATAAAACTTATTAGAATCGTTACATTTTAGTACTCAAGTAATTATTTCTTTAAATTAATAAATAAGTTTAATGTCCACAGTGGGCTATTAAAGAACAAATTGTCATCATAAAAAATTTTATCTATATAGACTACTATGTAGTCTGTCTATAGTTTAGTATATGTTCTGGTCTAAACTATAGTCTGGATTATGTCTAATCTATAGTCTGGTATAGTCTAGTCTATTTATAGTCTGGACTATAGTCTAGCCTATAACCTAGTCTATAGTAAGTACTCTAGTCTAGTTTATACTCTGCACAGTGGGGCAGAATGGAAATTTTTTGGAAATAAATCTGGCATTTCTAAACGGCTGATCCGATCGGGATAAAATTTGGCGTGAGCGTAGCCAAGGAGTATTCGAGTTTAAGTTTTGAAGATGAACCCTGCAGATGCCCCAGGGACGGCGCTGTGGCGGCTCAAAGTAGGGTACCTACGACATGTAAAATTTTTAAACTCGTGCCATTTTTTTGTTTTTCACCCAAATACAAAGATTTTTATATTTTGTGAAAGCGCTCGTCGAGATCTTGAAAAAACATGCTTGGACATACTACTTATCTCTTATAATATCCGAGTTATAGGCATTTAAAAATTTAGTGATACAAAATTTACCATACCTTGGTCCGCCTTTTTTTGAATACCGGGCGTAATTTTGGACCAAATGGACTCAATTTTTTCTTGTTAGTTAGACAACAAAATTTCCAATAATATACAGAAAGTTTCAGATCAATATCATTTACTGATCCAAAAATATACGTTTTTTAATTTAAAAATTCAAAAAATTTTAGATTTTTGGCGTTTTTTTTGCCAAAAATGTGTCTTAACTCTTTTATTAATAAAATAAAATTTTCTTTAAGAACATATAACAATTTTATAGTTTTCTAAAAGGTATCTTTACGCAGAACGCTTTGGCGTAAAAAACTTGTCCTATTTTTTGAAAATGTTGCCACTGCGTCCTTCCGAATGTGACCTATTTTTTATCAAAACTTCAACTTTGGGCGACATGTTCTAAAATCCCAAAGCTGGGATCAGAAAACTGAAAGCACTTTTGGAAACCTCAATATGTTTTCTATTTACTCCAAAAGTATTTTCCCAGCCCTGAAAGAAATGTGGACCCTATGGGCAAAAAAGTAAAAAATCCCATTTTTGGGATTTTCATTCCTATTTTTGGGAATTGCGGGATGCCCTTTGACCTTTTCAATTTTTTTTTGCATTTTCTTATTTTAAATGACAAATTTAACAAGCGTTGAAAATTTCATTGAGTTTTGTTCATAAATAAAGATTTTGTCATATATTACATATTTGTTTAATTTCTAAAACTATGATTTATATCAAAATTTTAATAGGATCGCAGATAGCTACAACAATTTAGTCCATATTTATCCCTTAATATCATTTTTAGTTAGATATGGAAATTCTCGACCCTTTACAAAAAATTTCAAGCCAATATCTCAATTACATTCAAAAATATGTTCATTTAAACCTGTGTCCTTTAATTTCATCTTTTTCATATTTTAGTATTAAGTATGACAGAACATACATTTGGTGTTGAATAAAATATTTGGACAATTTTTAAAATTATTTCGTTAATTATTTTATTAAAGACTATAACATTGTATATACAATAAAAAGTTATAATTTTATTATGAGCCACGCACAACAACACCTAAATCACCCCACACAAACCACCTTTCCCGCCCACCGAAATATAAAACACAATTTAATACAATATCATCAGTTAGTATAATAGCTTTTTATACCCACCATCAAAAAAGATGGGGGGTATATTGATTTTGTCATTCCGTTTGTAACACATAGAAATATTGGTCATAGACCCACAAAAGTATATATATTCTGGGTCCTCATTAAATTCTAGGACGATCTAGCCATGTCTGTCCGTCTGTCCGTCCGTCCGTCTGTCTGTCTGTCTGTCTGTCTGTCTGTTGAAAGCACGATAGAGTCCGAATGGAAAGAGCTAGAGGGTTGAAATTTCACATAAATATTTCTTATAGGTAAGGTTTGTTTGGTATTGAAAATGGGCAATATCGGTCCACGTTTTCGGATAGCCCCCATACAAGTGGCCCCTCGAAAAGCAGCTTTAACAGCCATAACTTGTTTAAAAATACGAATATAGCGATGAAATTCGACATAAGTAAGTTTCTTATGATCCAAAATCAATATGCGAAATTTTATGAGGATCGGTCCATAACTGACCCTACCCCCCATATAAGGTCCCCTTCAGAAAATGACTTTAACGCTCATTACTGGCTTAAAAATACTAGTATATAGATGAAATTCGACATAAGTAAGTTTCATACGAGTCAAAATCTATCTAAAAAATTTTATGAGGATCGGTCCAAGATTGACCCTACCCCCCATATAAGGTCCCCTTCAGAAAATGACTGCAACGCTCATTAATGGTTTAAAAATACAAGTGTAGCGATGAAATTCGACACAAATAAATTTAATACGAACCAAATTCTATCTACCAAATTTTATGAGGATCGACCCATAATTGACCCTACCCCCCTATATATGGTCCCCTTCAGAAAATTACTTTAACGCTTATAACTGGCCTAAATATACGAGTATATAGATGAAATTCGACATAAGTAAGTTTCATTCGAGTCAAACGAGGTTTGATGGTGGGTATATAAGATTCGGCATAGCCGAATATAACACTCTTACTTGTTTTATTTGAAATGTTTATCTTAAACATAATACAATTAATTCTTACAACCTACTTATATAGTTAATTCCTAACACTACTTATTTTCTATAAAATAATCTGTCATATCGGTATACATATCCAGAAGGTAATATAAGTCCTTTAAATCTTCCTTGTTTTGAGATGATAGAGTTTCATAACAAATCCATCTTTTTCGCATAGTTGAAAGAACAGGATCAGAAGATAGAAGTAAACTATTAAAAATATCTTCATTCTGTGATTGCCTGGAGCATTTTCTTGAGCTGAATATTTGAACATGCTTAAAATCTCGATTCCTCTCTTCCTGGGCTTCTTCTGTTAACTCTCCAAGTGGAAGAATATTCGATTCAATTATTATTTGACCATGACACAATACTTTGTGTACTGTTGGTGTTAGTTCCCTCCATGGATACAGAGATACAAGTAATTTAGAAATTTCAGATGTATATTCCCCAAATCGATTTCCATTAATTTTATATTTACTATTCAGTGCCATTAAAATAGTGTTAACTCTTCGAAGCAACTCCTTGTCGATTCCAGTTATTTTTGAAGTAATTTCAAAATCACGAAAAAACCTTCTCGCCGTATTACCGTCATTTGTACTACCGCAACTTGAAAGTGGTTTGTCGATGTTTAATCCCATCTGAACTTTAAATTCTTCTTGGATTCTGCTCTTTTCCGCAGCTCTCAGTTCTTTCAATTCTTCATTATTTTTTGTTGATTTAGTAAGATTCTCTGGCACACTTCTATATTTGAGGATCGTATTCTGGCATGAAGTGGTGAAATTCCGAAAGACAGGTGTTCTTCATTAATACTTCTGCTTTTGTTTATATTTGAGAATTGCGACTTTTTCTCATTACATATTGAGCATCTCCAGAAGGAAGAAGTTTCTGTTATGGCATTGCTGACCTTTCCATCAATCACTGTTAAGCTTAGCTGATATGATACGTTAATAGAGAATTCCTTTATTTTTATGCAAATGGGCTCCAGTGCATTTATTTCATCTTTTAAATATTCCACTAAATCTTTTGTTGTTTTCTTTGACTCCTTTATATGTTCAAATCCAATGGGTCTACAAAAATTTTTTGAACCCGGGGTTGTATTGATATATATATCTTCAAATGAAATTCCGATGCTTGACGATGATGGATTAAGGGAATATGAACGAATTCGTAATGGCACTAATGATGACATAAATACACTTTTGTAGTCTGCTAATGTCCGACTTTTACAAGCTTGTTTGTATTCTGGAAGTGCTGATAAGCCGTCACATCCCCACTTACATATTAAGACAACATCACAGTTATGAATTTTCCTTAGTTGGTCTTCTGAAAAGTCTGACACAATTCTTGATCCTGTGTTTTCGAGCAAAGATGATATATCAATACACGCTTCCACATCATTAACAGCAATAGGTGATGGTAGGATAGTTTGTTTTTTTTCCAAGATCGCCTTCTATGATGGTAATATATTGTGTCCTTTTTCATGCAGAGCTTTCCTTAATATTTGGTACTTATTTCGACTGAGACCCAGTTCCAACATAAGCGCTATTGCTTCCTCTTCAGTAAAATTTGATTGTGAAGTTGGAGTTGGTATACTTTCCACAATTCGCTTAAGTCGTTTTGGTGATGCATTAGGAAGAATAGTTGCAATATGTACGACATCCATAGGTTGGTTTTCCTTTTTCAGCATTTCGTTAAATGTATCAGCAATTTCCTCATTTGAGATTGAAAAAAGTTTTTGTGTGACCCTCTTTTTTTTTTTTGACCTTGAACATAAGTCTTCGTATGACTTGCAAGGCGCTCCTGTTGATGTGTTGTAAGTTGAGATTTCCGTAGTAGTTTCCATCCAACTACAAAATTTTAATAGAAATTTCTTTTGATTTCCATCCACAGACTTACTTTTTACATCAAAAAGTTTTAAAAAGTTTTCAATTTTTGATATGCCTGTTTTGTCTACTTTTCTACTATATGTAGTTTTTATATAATTTGAAATGTCTTCAATTCTTTCTGGCCCTTTTGAAGATACATTCCATAAAACGGAACACAACTCTTCGTTTAATGTAATCTTCATTGTAGATTTATTAAATATGGTACTTAAAATCTGAGAAGTTTACTTATATACCAATTCTTGT